TATATATATATATATATAGCACGACCTATCTATGTATAAGTAGGCATAAAGACTGAGGCGAGAATACAGGCGAAACCCCGAAGAATAATCATTCACATATTACATTTCTTTTCTTTATTTTCGTTTACTTATTTCGAAAGAAAATGATTTTCTATCGATTGTCTTTCGGTTTTTAAATGAAAGGAAACTTTTTATTCTTAACAGTTCAAAATTTGATCTTTGGGTCGAAGGATTATTTGCTACCTGAATTTTCCTTTCAGAAACCATGACAGTGAAATTAGAAAGTGAAAGTGACTTTCATCTTTTTCTTTTAATGCAATTTAGTACGTCAGAAAATCATCGGGCCGAATGTTAAAATTAATCTTCACGATCACGTAGTTTCCGCTATCAAAGTTTCTATTTAGCCAATCTTTCCTGGATCGTAGAAAAGGTTTCCTTCCTAAGATACTAGAAGACTATATTTTTATTCCCATTGCTATCGGTGTTTCTTCTTGATCTTCAGTCGTTGAACACAGAAAAAACGCGCGTGTCCAGAACGTGACCAGCACGTTCACGGGATTTGCTGCTTCTTTTAAGGCCCGTTCGTCGATGGTACTGCAACTTGTTTTCAACATTAGTAGAATCCAAGATTTGCCTATGCGTATGCAAGAAAAAAGGCTTGGAATGGCGAGGAGGAAAGCATAGGTTCAACAAGTAGGAGAAGAAAACGTTTACACGAAACAACGAATTGTTTCATCAATTAAAAGAAGAGGTTATGTATGAAACTTTCGATCTTCGAACTTCCAAGCCGTTCTTCTAGACACATCTCTCTCTCTCTCTCTCTCTCTCTCTCTCTCTCTCTCTCTTTCTCTCTCTCTATCTTTAAACGCGCGTAATTCGAAAGAAAAAGAACAGTTTTGTGTATTGAACTTCACCTAACAGAAGAGCACTGTTTTAGTCTTACGAAAATCTTATGAATGATTAATGAATTGCCCGTTTAACTTCACGTCTATTAGTTATTCATCGACATACGATAAAAATAAAGATTTGCTCTGTAAATATGTGGTTCTATCAGGATGTTCATTATGTTCTCACCCCATTCGGAAACAAAAACAATTGTTCGATCTGCGGCGACAAACTGACAGCGATTTCTTGTTCGATTTACGAAATTCCGTTTCCTCCGCTGTGCACGTATGCGTGTTTTGCGATTTTTGCTTCGAGTCAAGGTCGAATAGTAGTGTGTAATAGAGCTACAGATGTGTAACGTTCTGAAAATCACAGGACAAATCAGCTTCTAAATTCGGATGGGCAGTGTAAGCTTCTGCGAGGTGTTTCTTTGACATGTTTAAAGAGGCTACGAGCCTTTTGGATTAACGTTTCCGTCTCTTTTATGCGCTTACACCAAACTGTTCAAGCTTTCTCCTCTTGCGCTCCCTTCTTTCTTGCCTTTTGATTTATTATAATAATAAGGAAAAACAGAAACAATATGAAATTCGTCGAATCAATGGCGTTTTCGATCTTTTAGCTCACTTCTAATAGTGGTAACAAGTAAATACACGTTATCACGATCACCATAATAACGTAATTAGAATAATCATCATAGTAACATCACAATAATAATAGTCTGTGTAACGCCACTGTTCCGAGTGAATCTCTTGAAAACATTCAACATCATCGAGTCGCAACAGTGTTGTTCCAGTTGTTCCTGTTCGCTCTAATTAAATAGTAACTCGAATTGCAAGGCTACCGCGCGCAGAATGGAATAATAATTGAGCGCTTATCACAATAGATCGTGTTCTCCATAGCGAGCACGTTGAAAACAGCCTCCGATACCTGATACAAGTTTGCTAAACGAAACCTGCTAATCTTGATCACATTGTGCACAAAAATCGCATAATTGAACGTCGAAGCTGAGACGGATTTAATTCTAGATAACATACATACGCCGAGGGATATTTGGAACATTTCGAACACAAGGGCAAAATTGTTTTACGATTCAACGGATAGAAAATTTTATCCAATGTGAGAAACGGAATCCGTTCAATAATCCGCCACTGCATCGAACATTTTAAGGATAATTAACAGACTCTTAATCAAAGCTACGCAGTTTCTGCATCATTCTACACGCATTCCATCCAACCGTGTTCGTCTCTGCTGTGAATTAAACAGATCGGTGTAAGCAGAGGTAACGTTTCTCGTTTTTAAACACAATCAAGGGAGAGTAAAGGAAGAATCGAGGAGAGAAAGGAGACGGGATCGCAATTTTCGTTGAACAGAAAAGGAAAAGGCTCGGAATGCAGCCAGTACTGTCTAATTGTACCGAATAGTTCTGAACTGTTTGCTCAACGATAGCTCAATCGACGATAAATCTCGGTATTATTGGTTTCTATGTTACTGACATCAACCATGGCTATCTTAAATATATTCTGGAAAGGAAAGAGATGAGAGGAATAGGCCGCATCGTTAAAATTTGTCGAGTAATGTCGGCGAAAATAAACGGTACAAATGAACGCTCCAATAAAGGAGAGATTTTTTAAAAATCTTATATCGATCCTTGATGCAATCGGGACTATTTCGATCATATGCTTTATTTCTTCTGTTGCATAGAAAGCTATTATATTCGATTAAACTAGAGTGATCGTCATCGATTGGCTATCGCTCGATCAACCATTTCTGAAAATGTTAGCCATAATCTTTTGTCAACATCCTGATCTTTTACACTTTCATCGAGTCCCTCGTTAGTCGTTCTCATGTTGTGATCATTTATCGTACGTTTTTTTTTTTTGTTTTTTATTAATTTTTTCCCTTAGTAGTTTTTCTTTATTATTAGAGTATCGTTTATCATATTAATCATTATTATTATACTGCTTCACTACGGTTGGTTGACTCTTGGACGTGGATCTGGATGGAGTGTGGTGTACCGGTGTACCAAATGCGCGTGAAAGAGAGAAAAAGCTTCGTCGCTTGATTCTTTTCGTATTTTCTTTTTCTCGCATTTCTTTCTTCTCCTTCCATTGTCCCCGAAGCGAGAACAAGGGCCACCCATCTCTCCATCAGCCAGTTTCACGCTTAATTAAATTGTACTTTCTTATGTTACGTTGTTTCCCATATTTGCTCGTACACTTTCTTCCTCCTTACTTCATCCTCTATTAAGACAAGGATGACCCTCGTTATCGAGCCTCGAGTGTGTCAAACCTCTTTCCTCTTCTCTTTTTACCTTCGCTTTCGTATCGCTCGGAAGAGGAACATACAGATGAATTTGTCATATAAGAAATCAGACGGAATAGAACGTGCAACGGGAAGGGTAGGATCTACCCTACATTCCGCTTCCCGTTTTTAATCAGATGAACAACTTCTTCCGTAAGGATTTCATAGCTCCGTAATTTCGATGCATTTACGATTAGCACCATATTTCAAGTCGTAAATTCAAGCGACGCGTGAAAGCGTGATTCTCGCGCGAAACTCGAAGGAGTTTGCTTCAGATTTTCCTTCGCTTCATCTCGATTCTCGTCGATTCTCGACGATTAGATTAATTTTCATGCGCGTATTTTTCGCTAGTCTTCCTCGGTTATCCTCAGTTCCATCAATGTCTAAATCGTGAACCTCGAGAATTTGTGTCACGTGTGAAAAAAACACTACGCCTCACTACAGTAATTCGTTTCGCTTACTTGTGGGTAGTTTCAGTTTGCCGGGCTTTCGGAATGTTCGTCGTCGGATGATACTCGATCGTTCTTAAAGAAAGTTTTTCGCAGAATGATCAAGATACAGAGATGCAAGAGAGACTGATATCCTTTTGTTTAATATGATGGAAATTAAGAGAAAGAACAAAAACGAAAGAGTGGCGGCAGATGTTTAGAAATCGGTTATGAACTTCTAATATCGAGGAATGTTAACATTGTGCAATAATATAGCTGATTCTGTAAGTTGCTTTTAGAACGATCGAGATTCTACGCGAAAATGGAATGAATTTCCATATCTGAGTTCGGCAAACGCACAGAGAAAGTTGCTCTGTATTTAAAAGAAACTAATCTTTCCACGGTACTATCGATAATTTAACAGATCTATTAGATGTTCTTCTTTTTATTTCGATCAGTGATCAACGGGTCGAAAGAACGAACGATCGACAGGAAAGATCTGAGGAATTTTGTCGGTACCGTAATTGTATGATCCGCGAGTGCGATACCTATTAATTGTATACATTCATATTCGTGTATACGTACATAATTGTTTTTTGTATATAGACTTATATAAAACGCACGAAGCGGCTGAAGGCTATTGTGACCTTCCCTCCTTATTTATAGCAACAAGCCGTATTTTATCTCCTCGCGATTTAATTTATCGCGATATCGCGTCTTATTTTTTTTTTCTTCTTGATTCTTCTGTTCTTTCATCAATGGAAAAAGAATTCGGGCTTAACTACGGCGGATCCCTCGAGATCACTTGAAATATCCTAGAAACTTACTGACTCGCGTGTGTTCGTCTAGGTGCTTGTCTTTTTATGTGTTGCCATCGTATATTGTTATATGACATTGTGTGTAGCTGCATGTATCTGATTATCCGTGTGTTCGATGAACTGGAATTTGATTTTTTAATTCATCGTTTTAACCTTTTTAGCATCGATCTGAAAGATCGTTTTTGGCCGAATAAGAGTTTGCTCGCTGTAAATTAAAAATCTTTGTCTGTATATGAACGCGTATCGTGTAGATGTGTCCGTGTATATTTATCGAATGCATTCTTTGAACTATTCCTCGAGTTTCAACGAGACTAACGTGTTGCCTGCACGCAACGTCTTCGTTCTTCTCGATCGTCTTACGGAGCAGGTGTTCGCAAATTCTTCGTCGGTATAACGTCTTTCTTTCGAAACTTCTGTACCAGTTATATCCAAGTACTCGTGTAAGCTTTCTTCTATTCTTAAAAAGCAACTCGACGATATTCAAAGGAAAGAAACGATCATTCCACGAAAATCCTTCTTATGAATCATTCCTATTATTCTTCCTGTTACACGTTCCGGAGACATCGAACGTAAGAGAAAACATCTAGATCTCCCGAAGTGTTTCCGAACGAACACGAAGAACGCTCAACACGTGGTGAGTAAGACGGAAAGGAACATACGAGATCTCGTTCCTGATGAAAAACAACAGGAACGAGCAGACGAACCACGAAAGGAGCTTTTACAGGAACCTCGTCGAATTGTTTCATCTCTTATTCTCCTTTTCGCTTTTACTGTATTTTTTTTACTTCTTTCGGTTGCTCCTCCGCCTCCGAGGACGTTGTTACTACTTGCTTCTTTCTTCCTGTAAGTGCTCTAATTCTCCGAACCGCTGCCCTTTCCCCAGAATTTATCGAAGCGATTTCGCGCTTTCTCCAACACTTCGTTCGCTGCAAAACGTTGTGCAGAGCCTGGAACTACCGTTGGCGCCTCCAGAACGTGATAACCGCCCCCACTACTACTTATTCCACCGATGCTACCGCCACCACCACCTCCACCGCCACCACCACCGTCAGTAGTACTACCCTGAGGCGATTCGGCTTCTAGAATACGATAACCCTGTTGAGGAGTCGTTGACGATGACGGTGCTGTCATAGTTGTCATTGATGTCGGTTGCCCACCCTCTTTCTTTCTGTCATATTCGAAACCTGGATCTTCTAGGCATCTTAAACTAGTCCCTGCTACGGGTTTTATTGGTGCTTCCGATCTTTGTTCTTTAGATTGTTCTTTTTCGCCTGTTTCCTGTTGTTCATCAAGGATTTTATTTTTTATGATTATTATGTTTTCGATCGAAGATAAATCAAAGTATTATGGAACGATTAATTTGATCTTACGTTTTCGCCCTGTGTAGAAATGCCACCAGACTGAACGTTCAAGGGTAACGGACTATCCCTTTCGGAGTCCATGTCCTTGTGTCCATTCACACCGCAAAAGCTACCAATAGAAACGCTTTCGCTCTCAGGAGATTTGTATCCGGAATGCTGCGACTTGTGTTGAGCCGCCAATTCAGGTGGTGCGGATTGCGGCGCTGATGGAACCGACGAAGGTGCCCAGCTCTTTGCTTCGCTATGCGGACGTGTCAGGGGTTCTTGAAAACAAAGGTACCAAAGTATCGCAAAAATAAAAGAAATCGAAATGTGGATTGGAATTATTGTCAGCCACTAACTACCTTCTCTGACGTTTTGTGTGACAGTGAATGTTTTTCCGGTATCCAGCGGCACCGTCCAGTTCACCGGTTCTGGGGAGCGCATGATCATCTGCTCCGGAGACTTTACCCTGGTCGGCTCCGGCGGACTTTTCACCACCGGCTCGTCGTCGATCCACGGGCTTGCGGCAGTGGCTGAAACCGGTGGCTGTGACTGCGTCTGCGATGGTGGCGTCGACGCGACGCTCGAATCTCCTCCGGTCACGTCCCCGTTTATTTGCGGCTCTGCCGTCACTAGAATGTTTCACCGTTGCTTTTAATGATATGGTATACGCCATCCCTTCTCACTGCCCGAGTTCGGGCACTATTGCACTCGATGTTTCGAATTCACAAAAATTTTGATTCTGTTCAATTTTTAGGCATACCATTCTAACATATGTACCATGTGGCATTTCAAAAGTAGGATTACAGTTTCATCCTATCAGCTGAAGAACTCGCACTTAATAGCGAATAAGAAGAACGAGAAAGAAGCGTTGGTCGAATCATCGAGCGCTGATATCGGAAATCAGTAGATTCGCGGTTACACTGGAAATCTACACAACGAGTACAGAGCATCCCAGTAAAAAATCCACTAGCGTACTTAGAATGCAGGAGGAGGCATATAGATATATACAAATACACGATAGATAGATAGGTAATTAAATACATAGACAGATAAAGAGATAGACAGATAGAGAGAGATATAGATAGGTAGATAGAGAGAGAAAGAGAGTAAGTGAAGTAGTACTGGATTTGGTGTGACGACACAGAATGTGTATAAATATGCGGCTGTGTTGCACGGCCACGCAACAGGTTGACAAAGGGTTCTAACATACAGGCTATTGTTCTCTCTCTACCGCAGAAACATTTACTCGATTGCACGGCACACCGACCGCTGAAATATCACGGATAATCTGCTTCCCTCTTTTCTCTGCTTCCCCTCGTAGGTCCATGATCGACGGATACAGACACGATCGGAGAAAAAAAGACAGAGGGAGAGATGGAGAGATAGATAGATAGATAGATAGATAGATAGATAGATAGATAGATAGATAGATAGATAGATAGATAGATAGATAGAGAGAGAGACAGTCAGAGAGAGATAGAGAAAAAGAACGAAAAAAAATGCACGTTGCTTGATATACATATCGCGAGCCAGGTAAAATCATATTTTTACTATTTCGTGTATCACTGTGCGAGAACACTGTCACGTCCTCTGAACGGACAATTCGTTCATCGCTGCTGGAAGTTCACTTACGTTTGGCTGCCACCTGACTCGTTCTTCTTAATTTCCGCACACGTATGTCTTTCTTCTCGCTCCTTTTGCCTGAGTGTCTGTAGAGTGTGACAACTTGAACTGCGGTTTGGTGCGGGTGTTAGTGCGAAAAGCTGGTCTAACGTACAGTCGACAGGTCTGGTTACGCACAAAGGCACAAATTCAGCCAGACGCGTAGTGGAAAGAGTAATCCACACCTGGATACGAAGCTACCACAAATCCCCCGTGTTTGCCAGCGACACGACGCATAACGTGGACACAGAGAGACAGTGGATTTAAAAACACGACCGCGGGGAGTCGCGTGAATCGAGTGAAAACGTGGTAAAGGCGTTGGTATGTCTGTATGTAATCTATCCGATGAAAGCGTGACGAGAAAGGAGGAGCGCATAGAGAAACGGCGGTCTATTTCTCGCAGAGAAAAAGAACCGCATGAAAACGTGGGCAAAATTCCAGAGATAGTTCCGTCGTAGACCGTTCTCGGTGTTGTATTGGAAGAGTACGAAACAGTACACAAAGTGAGAGAATAAAAGAGCCGGGAAAAGAAAAAGAGAGAGAACGAAATAGAGGAACATCAGAGATTCGAGTTACGAACGAGTGAGAACACAGAGGATAAGAGACAGAGCGAGAGAGAGAAAGAAAGAGAGAGAGAGAGAGAGAGAGAGAGAGAGAGAGAAAGAGAGAGAGAGAGAGAGAGAGAGAAATCGTAAGTACAAAGAGGTAACTGATGGAGGAGAGAAAGTCAGAGAAAAGATGTTATGTAAGAGAAACGACAATAAAGACAACGATAACGTTAACGACAATAACAACGCAACGATAACGCAGTGACAACGACAACGACAACGACACCAACGAACACACGGAAAGCGTTGTTTAGTTGTGTTCGAGCGGACAAAAGTAGGCAACGGAGAAGAACACAGGCCTTTTTCTGACAGAGAGCATGCTACTTACTAGGTTGGACGGCAGTAGCGGCTTGGTTTGACGCGTATCGACTATCGGAGGATGATTTAGATGGATCAGCGACGGCGGCTGCGGCCGCAGCCGCAGCTGTCTGGTCGCGGCCCGTTTTTGCCTGAGCCTCGTTTGGACCTTGGTGGGACCGGCTTATATCTTTAACACGGTCCGGCCTGGCCGCAGCAGCAGCGCTCGACGTAGGTGGGTGATGGACACTCGTATGAACCGAATGCTTTACCGGGGGTTTTACACTTGTACTTGTAGTGTTTGTAGTGGTAGTGGTGGATGTAGTGGTGGTTGCTGTGATAGTAGTGGTAATTGTGGTAGTACTTGTGGTAGTAGTTGAGGGTTTGGCGTGATAAAGAGGGCGATGGGGGGGAGCGGTGGTTGCGAGGAAGGCTAGAACATACGGTACACAAAGTACAATGATGAATAAAGCCTATCGTCCTTGTTAAGGGAATGTACACGCAAGACAGCTCTCATCGATGCATTACTATGCTTAAAATATGATATTTGGTTAGATCGAAGTGTAGTATACACGACGAGTAGGAGCTCGAATTCCAACTGGAAGAGTAAATTTCATAACGTTTCAAACGAAAATACACGAGACTTTTTGAAATTTCGAACGAATCAATACTACGATCTTGTTTCATTTATCTCGCTTCGCGCTTTTTAATCGAGTTTCATGCGCATTTCGAGCTCGTTCCGATGTTATTGTTACACATTTTAAGCAAGGCTGCGTCGCTTCACCGAGATTCATTCTTATTGGAGAGGGCTGAAAGATCTCACGGTGTTATCGAGTCCGCTCAGAATTACGTCCACACTCGAATATCGAGGTTTCCTCGTACAGTTGCATTTCCAGTAGTCACGAAATACGCAATCGTGTCGCGTCAAGGCAGACGAGAAAGTTGATCGCGAAATTTCATCGTGCGATATGCGTACGTATGTACACATGTGCATAGTCGGTCTCGACGTCATTGTTCGGAAAATTGTTTCGAATCGTCGTGGAATCAACCCAAGTAAATAAACGACGCGTGTAATCTCGAAGAATATTCGAGCATAGATGAATCTTGAACAGTTGCGAGAGGGACAAGAAAATAGATAAGCTTCGATTGCTATTGCTGAAGCGTTCGCGATCCGCGGATCCTTTAAACAAGAAAAATTTCAGCCGCAAATTGGACTACGCAGAACTTCCCAATTACCAGCGATAGTCAATTCGAAATTCGATTTTAATCCTAACGTTTCTCAACGAGCTTCTATCATCGATAGGGCCAATAATCTGATACGCGATTCAACCCTTTAACAGTTTAATGAAAAACGAAAGGACAGGGTTAATACTCAGGCTGAGAGAAAATGATGCAGACAAACAGACTGTACGTATAGAACGTATCGTTATATCCGTTTCCATACTCGACATTCTATCCTATACATCATGACCATCTAAACTGTTCAAGGGTTAAAGACAAAAAGGTTACACGGGGTAGAACGGTGGCCATGGTAACTGGTGCAGGATGAAAGGTTATAGAGATATTTGAAATACGTGAAAGTCGGGCTAGCGGGCAGCAGGTACATGGTACAGAGAACGTACATTTCCGATGGACCTGCGGGGACCTCCTGTAGAACGGAGTAGGCCCTGGGCCTGAGGGTGGTGGCGGTAATGGCGGCACGCTGGTCGACGAACAACCCGTCGAGGAAACCGTCGACGGTTCCCGTATGCTCCAACGCACGCGGCCAGGGCCCGTGACTGAAACACCCGCTACCACTCCTGATCAATCCGATCACGATGCTCGGACGATCGTCGATCTGATCGCGATCGATCTCGCGCGAGCAACTTTTAGCCTGATTAATGACTGAATAGATTGACAGACAGAGAGACAAAGAGTGAAAAAAAAGAGAGAAAAAGAGAAAAAATGATGGGCAAAGGGAGGAGCGGAGGGACGGACGGATGCAAGGGATGTTTGTTTTAACAAAGAATTATCTACCTTGATGCATCCAGTGATTTCAACCAAGGACATATCGTGATGAATCGAATTATAGATTGATTTTTTCATTTCTCTTGTGAGTATGATTTCAATGAGTCGATATGAGGTGAAGTTGGAATGATGCGACTAAGACTGACATACGAATGCTTGTTGCTCACCGCCTCGGTGTTAGATGGTTCAATGGATGAGACGAAATGACGATGACTATTTCGCTGACTACACGACCGTGACGATGATGAAGAACGATGGTAGATCGAAGAGAGTGGTGACTGGTGATGATTACGAGTGAACGAGAGTCGTCACGTAGGATGAAAAGTCATGGTGCTAAGTGCAGATATATGAAACAGTATTATCGTTACGTGAAATAATGTGATAAGAATTATCGATCGATGATGTTTGAATCGAGTTTGTCGATATGTCATTTTTTCGTTAATGGTTGACGTTCGTAAACAGGGGGACACCTTTGTCGACAGTTTTAATTTATTCGATCGATATTTCAGTCTGCTCGACATCCAACGTAATTAATAAACAGGGAACGATCAAACTCGTTTAGTTGGTTAGGCTATTTCGCGGTTTACGGAGGTCGTTCAGGAATAAAAGGGGGAAACAACATGTCGCAAAACTTTCTGCACGGACAATCAATAAGGCTACTGGTTACTATAAATGTGGACTCAAAGGCAGAGACAGAGAGATAGAAACGATTAAACAGGAGTATCATGCATTTGCCTAAACATTAACGACCACTTGGAAGTTAACGTGTGTTCGACATACACCGCTCAAAGAATCTATCTAATGAAGAAGAAACACGTCGAATAGATCGATGCGCGATATATCTTTATGATCGATACTCTTCGATACAGACGTAGTTAAAAGAAAAAAAAAAGGAAAAAGAAAAAGAAGGGGAAAAATGATACTAGTATAGCGATACTCTTAGAAGCGGTGAATGTCTCTTGCAACACGATTCGAACAGGGTAAATACGGCCAGGTTTGACGAACGGTTTGGCTTTGGGACCCACAAGAGCAAACAGCAGACCAAACTCGCATAATATATGTGTTATAAATATATAAATAATATATAAATATATTTATATTTATATATTTATATTTACATATGTATATACACATATATAAATATACGTATAGATTTCTATTCAATCAAATTCAATGATATATGCACGAAAATGCAAACGGGACTCGTAATAGGTTACGAGTGCCAATCGATTTGGGGTATGATCTCTTGGATACTAAATCGATCGACAGTATCTGTATAAAGACATGACGAAGGATGTATCGATGCTCGTTCGTGCTACTTACTCGGTCGTGGATGTCTTTCAGGCTCACCGCCCTTCTCCCTTTGATCTTTTTCCTTCTCCTTTTCCTTCGGCTCCTTCTCTTTTTCCTAAACAGAGGGAACTGGATCGATAATGTTGTATCAGATGAATCAACCTTCAAATTAATTCGAGCTTACACTTATCATTGAATGTTAAAGATAAAAAACAAATTTGCTCGAACAAATATGTGGTTATCATCGAGGATTATTCCTAAGAATATACCTTAACGTCTTTAGTGACTGACGGTGCACGCGGTGGTTGACGTTTAGGCGATCGGCGTTCAGTCACGCTAGGACCAAGGCTCTGAGAACGACCGGTTCTTGGGCTGTTTTTAGGACTCGATTTCGTTTTAGGCTGAATCTCTTCGCGATGCTCCTTAGTTTCCTCTCGACGGCGTGGTATCACGGGCTCCAGTTTCTCTCTCGTCGGAGAGGGAAGCAGTGCACCGTCACCTGTCGCGATCAAACGTTTTCATGGAGTTTTTCACGAAAAATCATCACACATTTAGAAATCGTTGTACACTTACCCACGCCGGTAGTGCGATCCAGATGATGGCGGATCAAGAAATCTTTTCTTGCGCGAGCAATAGCTCTTTCGGTGTCCTAGCAAACGATATCGGGTAATTAAATCGCGTGGATATATGCATACTTATTTATTCGTTAATTCATCGATGTACGTACCGCTTTGGAATCGTCCTGCAAGATTCCATGAACGGGTCTAGCTTGTACCGAAGACGGTCGACCTGCAGGAGGCATGGTCATCGTGGCAGGAACCGGAGCGACCTTCCTCGTGTTCTCCTTCTCTTTCTCTTCCTTCGTCACTGACCTAAATACGCAATCATTCGTCACTGGCTTTTTTCCCGAACTGGGAGTACGTCGCGAGGTACAAACGCGTGGAAGAAATAAAAGGCAGCTACGACAAAACCCGTGTGAAGATTCGAACAATTTGTCCCTGTACAACTACGTTTGACTCTTTTCTTTTCTTCCCTTTTTCTGGTTCGAGTATAGTGTGTGTATGAATGAAAATGTATGCTTTTGACGATAATCGGTAGCGAATGTTAACGATAAATGACAGAATTTCCTGTCAAATTCTACACGGACGTCGCTTTCCTGATAAGTCGCTTTAGCGTTAGTAGAATATGTCCGTGCCGAGTCAGACGCCAATTGCGCTTGCTATACGTGCGCTTATAATGCTATCTTATACGTGTTACCCTTACTTCACTAGAATCAACGAATATCAAGGACTGCCACAATCGAACGATCTCTAACGGTCTCCAACTCGATTGAAAAATATAAAATAATCGTAGTTGAAAATAATTAAATTTCCTGTCATTTTACACAGTTAAAACATCGAGTGATCGTTAAAACTGTATTTTTCCATGCGTACAGGTAGTGATCGTTTCGTCAAAGTTCTTTAACATTTACCATTGAGTCTCCTCTACATCTGTATTTTCTACTCGTCGTATCACGAAACGAACACCGCTTACTTTTCACTTGAATCGTCAAGTGACACAGAAAAGTTGATGTTTGAGAGTGGAGTAGTGTACTGGCCTGGCAAGGGACAGCGCGTTGAGAGCGTGGTTACTGGAGACTCGTTTCCACAGCGAAGCCTCGTCCTCGGCTGCCAGACCGCAACCCCAGTCGCGATGCTAATGTAAATCAGAACCAATCATTCTGTTGCTTTTTACTTCCTAGGACACTAAGCTATAACGCGCTTGTGACGGTAATAACGCGTGCGCACACACATACGCGCGCGCATGTATACACGCACACGCAAAGCATGCTATGGAAGACACAGATCGCACTACGTTTGGTATGCAAACGATTTTTATTGATCTCGATCGACTTGAACATTTGAAAAAAATAGGTGCATGCACGTATCACGATGAGTGAGTAAGTTTGAGAAAAGTTAGTAGATTCGTTTCTTCGTGGTCGGTGAACGATGATGATCGATCGGTATTGAGTTGTGTCGAGTTGTGAATGGAATGTTTAGAAATCGCTTTGAAAAATGATAAAACGAACACATGCAAATTCGAATGAACTGGTAAATCGACGATATTCACCCTCGATTTCATATCTGTGACACTTAGGATATTTACAAAGACACATACGTATGTACACTAAAGATACACTATGGATGACGAAAGTCTGTGGAGGAACATTCGAGGAACGAAAGACATCAAGAAAAGAGGAAAAGGTATACCGTTTCCAATCGAAACTCGAAGAATAATTATCCTTGAAAAAATAGATGGAACAGTCGCATTTTTGTCCCCGGAATTACCTTGTACTCGTCAGCGAGACGCCTAAGTTCGATGACTTCAGAGGTAGGAAACGGTTTCTCTTGCGGTTTGCTCAGCCCTTTATCATCCGATATCCTTACGGTTCTACCTGACTTTTTACCCCTGCAAAGAATCAATCGTGGTTGTAGGCTACTAACGTATTTCTTCGTTTCTCTCAATATTTTCGTTCAGTGTGATATACACGCGCTAGACACGTCGCAACTGACAAAGGGCCGTCGTAGGTGCTTTCTTGTTCTTCCCTTTCAACCTCGTTATTTATACGATACTGCATACGGGACTGTGTACGATAAGCTAGGTCGAATTATATGTTGTCTTGAACTCTGACCTGAAAGCTATCTTCAAATCCGGCATTTCTTCCTCGCGCTCGTCACCCTCGGGCACTACTCCGTCGATGGCGTCCGTTCCAGTTCCTCCAACCAGGGGCTCCAGCTCCGATGCTTGCATCCCTGTGAATCATTAAAAAGAAAAAAAAAGAAAAGTTAGAAGGGTTGTCGAGAGAGAAATTCTTCATGACTAAGAAAGATTGACACTTTTTGCTACTTCAATTGGTTCAAGGCCCCTTGGAAGCGAATAGTCGGAGGGTAAAAAGTTTGTCGAGATGTTCCATTTACCGTCACGCTTATGATCGACATCACCGGGTCGTTTCTTGTGAACCGGAGCGGGTCCTGTAGGGGCGATACCCTGCTTAAGAGCTCCCATGCTGAGAGACTTTCTAGGTGGTCCTGTCGTACCTGCTGGAACTCCTGCAGCTGTCACTCCTGGTGCCACCGTCTCGCCATTCGTCAGCTGGGGTCTTCTAGGCCAGGCAAACTGCAAACGATACTCCGTGCTGATTCTTGAGATCGCTTTGCTCAGTTGACTCGGTGGCAGACCCGACTGCGTTGTAACTTCCTGTAACGACAATTTTATCATTCTCACGCGTCGTCGATTTCTTCAACGAAAATCTTTCGACAAGCAGATCGCATTAAGGAACGACGAGATTCGCGAGGGATACGCGTAAGAAGAGGATACTCGTTCGTAAGTGATAGGTATTCTATAACGTGTGGATACGAGAAAAGGGGTCAAGCAAGAGAAAACCTAACCTAACCTGAGGACCTGTTGACAGAGAACTTGAGAAAATTGGCCTACAGCTTACACGTAGGGAAGAAAGCTTCGGATAATCTTCTATCGTTTCACTTTTCTTTTATCGTTGAATAAAAACGAAAAATGATTGCTCGATTGTCGATCTTCCGATTCACGATCATCTAGACACTCGTCCAGGTATGTTCTCATGGGCGATACGAAGGAGTAGGCTTTATCGACTTGTCAGTCTTCGATTCGTTCCTCGCTCGTGTCAAGATGATCGTTCGCTGTCAGCCGAGTTTGGGAAACGTTTGGAAAGTGTCGGGAACGCTTCCGGGGCTGCTGATTCTTACGTACCCGAACTTTGTCAGCTACAACGTTCGAATCGACAGCGTCGATGCCACCTCCATCTGCTGCCGTGATGAATTCGTGCGTCTTGTACGCGAGTTCCGGGCATTTCTTTCGCCTTGGCAATGGCGGTTCCAGGGTAGGTCCTGAAACGAATCATCGTGGCTGCTTGAGATCTTTTGTCATTCGTCTTTTGTCTTCGGTTTACACGAGAAGGGGACTACACGCTTCACGTTCTCGACCGCTTTTCCTACGGAAGAATGACAAGAAATTCCTCGATTTACCAGCAACTCGGAAGGATTCGATTTTACGATCATTTCACGATACGGTCCGCTCCTTCATTTTTTCCCAGCAGCAATTTCGCATGGTTAGAGGAAGTTTCGAGTAGCCGAGAGAGACGCTCGAGGCTTCGTTCAAAGGCGGAAATCGATTTCTGATAATGAAGGTAATTAAGCAGCGGTCGAGAGTGTGCACGGTGTCACAGGAAACGAACTTACAAACGAGGCGAACATCTCGAGGCGATAACACATAGAACAAGCAGGAAGCTGCTACATCTCGCTGTATTCGCACGCAGACGTACAACACAGTAAGAAAAAAAGCGTATCTCTATAAAAAGCAGGAAAGAAGAACAAAAAAGTAGAGTTTATCTCTTTTTCATTTTTTCTTTTCTATTTTCATTTTTCTTTTTTTTTAAGCAACACGTCCACACATAAGAATTCAGCAGGCGTTATCCACACTTTTACTAACGCGCTTGGTAATTAGCTCTCTATATTTTTGCTAGCCGCCTGACGGAGCAGTAGCTGGAAGAGGTACTCTCTCCTCTCGAGGCTCGAACGCGAGGAACATTGCTGAAAGACGATTATAAGCGAGAAAAGCGGAGAAAGCGTCTCAAGTGGTTCATAGTTTCGCAAAGGTTGCTTTTATGGACTGGTTGGGTGTGTTGGCTAGGTCTTGAGCTTTCGCAGGGAGACCTTGTCACCTCTACTCACGACCTCGCGTCGCTTCCGTCATGAATTCGACATCCATGTACAACTATTCGCGATCGTTTCCCGCAGAAATCGACCCGTTGCCAGCTTTCTATCGCGTTGTTTCGACGCTGACGCGTCGCGCAGTGAATTAAGGTCAGCGGAAATCGGATTCCAAAGAGGCGCGCATCGTCAAAGAGGGTTGGAAGTTGAATGCGACGTGAGGTTAAATTGCTATTTCGAGGAAAAGTTGCCGGATGTGGTAATCTGCGGTAGTCTAAGAGTAGATCGTGCGGCTTGGTCTCGTGGTTAGAAGCTTTGAACTGTCTTGCGAGAAGACAGTCAGAGAGAGGGGAGAGAGAGAGAAAGAGAGAAAAAGATATAGATAGATAGACAGATAGATAGATAGATAATAGATAGATACAGAGAGGGAGAGAGTGAGCAGAAAACGAGAACGTTCGCACGCGTATTCGCTGCATTCCGTCATTTCCGTTGGTTATGCAACCGATTTGCCGCTGTGATTCCACTTTTAGAACGACCATTCTCTCTGGACGATGCTAGCAAGTAAGTACAAGCAACAATAACGTGCACACGAATGATCGACGCGACGTTGAGTGTCTATGCATTCGCCTTTATTCGTCTGTGATCGTCTAATGCGGCTGGTTCATGTGTGTAAGTGTGCGCGTCTCGTAAATACGTTTGGTAGTGTTTGCGTGTGGCGGTGCGTGGAATATTAACTGGATTATATAAGCAACGTTGAAACTTCGATACAACAACGTCGTGCTTCGTGGTGTCGGTCTGTTGGTAATCGTTAATCGGATAATTAATCGGGTTGTTATAAACGAACCATTTTGGAGAACAAGCCGAATCGATAAACCGTAATATTTCGCACAATAGTTTGGTCTATATAGATCTATGGTTTCCGTGGAGAATCGTACTTGGTTCCGTCATAAGAAATCGTGAACGATAAGGACAATTCTTACGGAACGGTTGGATCAAAGCTAATCGCGTCGGTTGGATGCCAGCTTTGTGCTCCAGTTGCGTAGTTGAATAGAGATCGATGTTAACTGTTCAACCATCCGTAAGAGAATACTTCATTTTACGCTGCCAGTTATGAATGATTCATTTGTTAAAATATTACGTAAAGATCTATAGTAATATTATAGTCGATTTTTATGTACTCCTTGGAACCTAAATCCGAAATCTAAGCTCCAAGTTGTAGGAGGTACATGTTTCTGCATTTTTACAATTTTTCTACTTTTCTTCTTCCACAATTGACTTTTTCCTACTATCAAACTATGGTGATAATTTGATTAATATGATGATTTTATAAGAATATTTTATAACTGGAAGCTTCCTACGTTTAGACGTTTTAACTTTTTAATTTCTCTTTGACTGGTAAACGATATGTGCATTTATCTACAAACAGATACGATGCTAACTTGAAATTACCATATTATATCCTTTCGTAGCTCGTTATATGAGAAATCTTTTGATCGTTTCTGCTTATGTCACATTTTCCACGGTTGTAAATTTGTGAAACGTATTTAATTCATAGTGGATGTTTAATGTGTCAAAAGAACCAAGCATGTCCATTCGTTCCGCAAACAGATGCTCTATTCCTGATTTAGATTAAACCAAATCTATGGATAACGTTCAGCTGAACTTCAATATGCGTCGTAGGCACAATCGAACGCAGCGATACACCAATGAAACAAGGAACAAAGGAAAATGATTAAAATCAGTATTCCGGAAAGAATCGTGTAATGTGCAAATAATCGGTTAATCAACGAACGAAGGTGCACGCAAAATTAATTCAATTCCGATAGAAAAAAAGTATCTGTTCGAAAACATGGAAAAGCAAACGAGACTTGACGATAGAAATAAAGAATCACGAGGATATAGGGGAGAAGTAGAGGGAATAGACGCTCGTTAGACATTGATATAAGGGCATCGTTCGTGCCTTTCGGCTTAATAAAACGGAAAAAAATTGGCTGACAAAAGTGTTGCGAACGAAAATTTTCCATTAACCATTTTCCCTGTCTTTCATTTCTTTTTCCTTCATTGGAGTATCACCAGGGGCTGGCACAGCCATATAATATAATAGTCAGCTGGGTTTTCTCGGTCATCCATGTCGCAGCCTTTAGTTCAGGTCAGAAAACTGTCAAGGGGATTTCCGTGCATATCAATAGCCGGCGCGAAACTGATAAGTTTGCCTCCTCCCTCGTTTACACTTTTACTCTTTCTATTTTCAAGCGTCACTCGATTCACTGGCTATGAATCAATTATCTCCACGGGCTAATGTTCTCATTTCTGCCAATGGAATAACTCGCATTCCCTCTGCATACGAATGCACCGAGAGAAGACTGGATGAAAGTAGAAGTTCGCGTTCTGGTGGTGGGAGAAAAGAAGAGTAGAGGGGCGAAGGATAACGGTTAGAAACGAGAGAATTTTCACGTTTTCATTTCTTTCCTTTCTGTCATGTCACGATTCGACGATTCCCAACATGACCTGTAAATAAATTAATTACATCAGAGCGGCTGTTCATCCGCGTGAAAAACTGTTTTCGTCGAACATTTGCTTAATACCTTTTACTCATGGCTCGTGGGAAATCCTTTATATCGAGTTTCAACTGTCAACGATAAACTAAGAATAATCATGTATTTTTGTGAATAATTGTGATTAAATGGAATATCGTATATTTACCCCAGATCATTTTTGACATAATAATTCCTAATCGACTCTCTTCGTAAATTTCCCTTCCGAGTTTAATCGAATCGTATATACATACATGCGTCAAACAGAATTATCGAAATGGTCTCAGTACGGTAATTGGAATTGGAACGATCGAAAATATCATCGGACATGAATTTCCCGTTGGCATTAATCAATGTGTAGAATTACAATTCGGATTGTGCGTTTCCCACGGATTTGGCTACACTGAAACGAGGATAATGCACGTAGAATTGTGTGTTTGCGCGTAACTTGGTGCGTTTAAACAGAGATATCGAAATCGCAACCGATGATTCATCAGCGAGATCGAATCGAACTAACGATCATCAAGGTATCATGGTGTATTATAAGACACATTAAGTTGCAATGGCCGTTCAACTACCCGAGATCACTCGAACGTGTTTCCCATCATTGTTTCTCTCACGCTACATCGAACCGAATGAACTTCTCGAATAGACTCGCACTTCACGATAACCAGCTAGTCAGAGGTGATTCCACGTGTGATACGCGATAGACTAGCATTGATTGGTCGAGTCGTAGCGTTGGCAGTAGAAAACAGGTCAGACGGTACTAATTTTCAGACCGAACAGAGTATAGTAAACCGGTAATCATAGCGAAAATGTGGGTCGCTGCTAGCCTTCCGAAACGCTTGGGCTCTTTCCACCGTAAAAATTGCGGAATATTTTCGCTATAAAAGATTTCTACGTCGTACGCGGGCACCTCATGGACGGTCTTGGAATACAACGAGAAACCAAGATAGGAATCTACATTATTGAAATCGCGTTTCGAGCCAAAACCATAAAATATGATAACGACTGTCAACCAATGTGTCACGATGTTCCGTGTAACGCGTTGATTAATCTGTTAGGCAAGTTGGTGGTTTCGTGTGAGCGTAATCTGCCGCAAATTCATCTAATATTAGCGGTGTCTCGCGTCCCCCGGGCGATAATTAAATTCGTTGCTCATTAGCTACTGACGCGATTAGCCCGCCATCTGGCGCTCCGTGTACGACACTGGAAGTAATTGTCTCGAGTGATTGTCTCGCCCGATCGTAGGGACGATTAATCGTCGCAATTTCACGATCGAGAGTTCTCGAATGTATACGGTCACGTGTCGCGATCGTATAAGATATGTTCACGTGTATACACACGCGTGTACGCAGAGACGTTGGCGAAGGGAGGAACACCAATCACGGGGACGAATCAGGATCGAAAATTAATTTGCTGCGGTCTAATTGCAACGATTAATCGCTACAATCGGCCTGAAGTCCAAGGGGAACGCGCACGCCATCTACACACGGTAGAAGAATATAGCCAAGCGCCGTGAAGTATGTTTCATTGCCGTGCAGGCTAAAATGAATGCGGCGAGCAGAAAAATCTAAGGGAACACACGCGAGACATTGTAAGTATATGATTTAATCGAAAGCCTCCCAAACGCTGACGTATCTATGCGCAACTTACAATTAGATGCGTTTCTACTGCACTAAATCGAAGAGAGGATACGGCTGTAAAAGCGCGATGAACATAGCAAAGAAAATAAAAGATGAGACACAACTAAGTAAAAGCTTCTTCTTTCGTTGTTTAATGGATGCAGTAATCGCGGAAACGAAATCTGTCTGTTTCCTTTCTCTTTGCTCCGAGTCGGATAAGCAGATCGATGTTGGGAATATCTTGGTAAGTTTGATCATTGTACTTTGATTTTAAAGGAAAGAAAGGTGTTGTATTTGCGAATAAAAAAGAACGATCTACTTGAAAGTTTTTCCGAACACGCGATATTCGTCAGACGGTAATTGATGAATTCGTAATATCGCGAAATTTGAAATATGCGATACATACTATTACTGTGTTTTATTTTTCTTTGTATATATTTTATCTAATTTTCAGACGAGAATTCTCTGGCGAAAAACGAAGGCCTTGTTATTTTTAGTGTGGATCGCGAAGCTGATAGTTCGTGAGTTCTGGAACAAGTTGTAACAAGTTGTATAGAGTTCAATGCTGCGTATATACAACGATGTACGTAGAGGCGAAACGCTGTGCAAACTTTCGTGCAAGTAAATGCGGAGGCGCATCGTGCAGTATCTAGGCTATATCTACTTGAACCGGAGGTAAGGGCTGTCGGTATAAATTTTCAAGCGGTTCACGATAACGGACAGTCTGCCTTGCAAGCGTCAATGTATAAAACTTTCGAAAATTAGAGAAACGAAGAGGAGCAAAATGTCCACGAACGAACATCCTTTCAAACGAGATCATTCTTTTATGAAACAGACAGAAAGAGACAATAGGTGTACCTTTGTTCGTTTCAATTCGGTAAGATACGTTTCTCGATGAAACACCTTTTTTCCTTACTTGTTTCTTTCATTTTTCTTTTCTCTTTTCTTGCTTTTCGCATTTGGTAGCAGTGCCAGTACCTTTCTGCGTCTCCTCGAGAGAAGTACCTCAATCGGTTACGCTAGCGAGCAAAACCGACCTGAATGTCCTATGTACAAGGTCTAACGAGTGAAAGAAAGAAACATACGCCTAAGGACAATCGATGCAACCTAAACACAGCCTGCACAATGGATGCATTCACACACCGACGTGAAAGATGAGAATGTTCACGCGAGATTCGTCGCAAAATTGGTTCAGGGCAAGCGCAGTGAGGAGATTGGAACGTTTAGACCTGGTTCGCAGTTGTGTTTCAATCGTGTGCACTTTTTTTCCAGACCTTACAAAGCTCGAAGGTCACTTCAAGAGCTCCATAAACTTTCCATATCAAACACAAAAAACAACAGTTTCGCCCTCGGGAGATTAATGTGTACGTAACGCGTGCATTAAAGCAAAATTACTTCTGAACACGAGAACGACTGGTAGTCACACATGTTACTTTTCTACTCTCTATTCACGGTGAGATTTAAACGGAGATGAGACTATCGTTCCGTATACTTCAAAGTTTTCTAACGAACATATTCATTTTGCAGATTCGATTACGAAACAGAAGTGCGAACTAAGCTTCAGGGATCATTGATCAACCGCAAGCAAGCATGCTCTGTTAACCCTTCGACCGTGAAACTCGCGAATGAAACGCGTCGACGAGTATCGACGGTGTCGCGGCAGAGAGTGCAAAAGAAGGTGTCTGGCGACGTTTCCGAAAGCGAAAGTTACTTCGAAAGGGTTAATTACTTCGGATGGTCTCCTCGCGCTTGGGGAAAGAGGATGGTGGTTTAACAGAAAAGAAGGGTAGAATTGAGAAAGAAATGGAACAAGGCTAAAGTGGAATATCCACTGTCGAAAAAAGGTGGTGTTAAAAAAGGGGCTAAAACGAGCGAAATAAACCGTAATAATCTAGATGTTTGCTTAGCTCCGATCGTTCGTCTTACCTTCGTTGTTCTCATCCTCGGTTGACTTGGCCGATTGTAGCTTCGCGCTCGGTTGCTTCGCTGCAATCAAAATTCGCAGCTGGCACCGTATTCGTTATTTTTTTTCTCTTTTTCCCTTTTTCCTTTTACTTTCAGTTTTTCTATTTCTATTACTTTTCGCTGTCTTTTGTTCACCTTTGTTTTCCTTCATTTTGTTCGCTTTCTACTTCTCTCTCGCTAAACTTGCTCTTTTTCGATTATCCGCCTTTCGGCTTCCTAGTCTAGTGACCCGTTTTCGTTTTCGTTTTCTTTTATTTCTATTTAAAAAAAAAAAAAAAAAAAAAATTGGCCCGAAAACCAATTCCACGTTCACGAGAACGTCCGGGCAAGCTCGTTGCCAAATCAAACGTGAATCGTTTGCGAATTTTCGGCCGCTATCGATACCCGATAGCAGCACCGGCTGGCTAATTATTTTCACGGTAGCTCACGAGCCGTGATTGGGTTGATACTCTGCGTGATCAGCGAGCACGTGTCTCGAGACGTTTTGCGATTGTTCACTCGCAGCTCTGAGGGCGTATGGGACGTTCTTTCGAATGAGGAATCAGACGATTAGTCCAAGGTTCGTATTATTACAGAATCTAGGGTATTGTACTTGATTAAGCGTTTTATTATACGTTCACAGAGACATCGGTAACTAAAGAAAGAAAGAAACGAACGAAAAAGATGGAAATAAAGAGTGAAGATTCACAACATCGATACGATTAAACAAAGAGAATATACGTCATGGAGAAATCAGTGGTATAATTGGAACTATAAGACAGACGTAGTGAAACAAAATGTTATACATACTTATGGTACGATTACACGAGTCACGAAGGTGATAGACATGGCGGTGGTGTGAACGGGTGGTGAAACGTGACGACAGAGCGTGTGCGATATTAATGAGACCAGATGTATGATGACTATATAGTAGCACGATCAGAGAAAAAAATAAAATCGCTAAACACCTTTTACAATACTAATAAGGGGAAGAAAAGATCATGAGAAAAAAATGGAAGTCGGTAAGTACGAATTTTAGCATTATTGTTATTAAAGTTATCGTCATCGTTATCATATTCAACATTTATATCAATGCCAAATTACTCGTGTTTTGGCATGCAACTCGTTAACGCGGTTGTGTTGTAAATACTTAAAAAAAAAAAAAAAAATAAAAAAAAGGAAATTCGAAACGTTGAAACGAAAATATATTTTCGCTCATGTATTTCGTTCCTGTAGCGTATTAATCTCGTCTCTAAAAATGTTATTCTGTCCAAGGCTTTCGTGAGACAACTGAGTAATTACAATACTAATATGGTACGTGCTAGTAATTTCTCTGTTTCTTTTTTTTTCTTTTCACGCTCGCGGTTGCTGATATGATTCTAACGAATTTATGGAGACAATTAACCTTTAAACAGCATGGTATGGATGCCTGAGAAAATTTATCTGGTCACCCTTGGGGACGCCCGTTAGTCGTTTTTCTGTAGAAACCTCTTCACGGTTCTTTGCCTCGCAAAATGAGGCTAATATTTCTTCTTTCTTTCCGCTTGTTTATTTGCTCAAACACCATACCGAGTCAACTATGCGACGATATAGCTAAAAGACTAGATCGTACTGATCAAAAGACTGGTTTCGCTAGATCGAAAACAATATGTATATATGTATATATAAATGGAGTGTTTAATAATGAACAGGGTGAAGAACTTACTTGACGTCGGCGGAGGCTGTGGCGCTCGACGGACAACCGTATGCTCCTGGTGCGGTCCAGTGTACTCGTGCCATGTGTACGTGCTCCTATACTCTGAATGGAGCTGCTGCAATACAGAATCGATGCAAGGAGTTAGTATAAAGCGATAGCTGAGATATCGCTGAGTAGATTTTCTGGACCTTCCTTTTAAGCGCCTCGGGCCATCGCGAAAAATGGAAACTTCAACGTCTCCCAACTTACGCTTTCCTGTTCAACCTTCCTGTTCCAATGGAAGTCACTGACTCGAAATTCCATTCAAATATTAACGATGTACGTATTAAATTATTATTCGTCTCCAAACTTACGCTTTCCCTTTCGACCTTTCGGTTCTAATGGATGTCACTGACTCGAAATTCTTTTCACAGATTAACGATCTATATAACTGAATTATTATCGAATTCCAGATCGACCGCTTGAAAAGAAAGTCCAAGGATTCGCACGAATAGATCACCCTGCGATGGAACCTCTGGACGATATCGCAGCAAAGATAGTTCGGTACATACAGTTCGTACATCGATAATGCGATGTGCCGAATATGATGTCTACGATAATCGATATGCACGTTCAACTTTTACGTCAACTCTCACTCGCACCTCGTGAAATCCAACGTAAAATCTGAAACACAGCTAGTTATTCAGATGTAGTGTTACATTTCCTGCGACAAGTAGGAAAGAGGTGTCAATCCTATCTGTGAACGACTCGAACGTTTCACGTGCAATCAATTACAGTGATGACGCCCATTGATTCGCGGAAGTGACCAGAGATGACTCCTTTCTCCCTTTGTTCCCCCATATTTCTTTTTCTCTTCTCGCGCTGTCGCTTTTTTCCTATCTCAAAAAGGAAGAAAAAAAAGGAAAAAAAAGTTTCAATGGACGTCGATCAATTTCCCTCGATGAATGCACGTCGCCTGCATAAAAGAGAAACGTTAACGCGGCTTCGCGAGGGCGTCAATGAAAAAAAGGAAAAGAGAGAAAGAAAAGAAGATGAAAGGAAAAACAGGTCGGACTGATAGCGTCTTACCGGTACGAATTTCCCGATAAACGTTTCAGATTGTTTTCGCGGACATGTGACGAGGAGCAAAAATATGTTCTTCGAGTCGTACAGCAGGAACGAGGCTCGCATTTTATCGCATTAGAGGGCAGGTCGGAAAGCCGTTTCTTTCCACGGGATTTTATAAACCTGACAGATTTGTAGCGGCGTCGCTAATTGCGTTGTCCTGTTTTCTCAGAGTTGATTGATTTAGTTGCTTAACCCAGATACTGTCGGTTCTGTGTCCGGGAACATCGAGGTGACAACGTGGACGCGACGCGTGTACCGGTGAATCGGTCAACTAGTCTAAGTTCTCCAAATATTTTCATTCGTTTCCGTGTCATTGAGTTGGCCGTTTTTCCCCCAGTTAACAGGTAGAAAGAAAAATAACGAAAACAATCAAGGTTATACATGAAACTGGTACGTACGCGAATTGGTGGGCTTCGATGCTGCGGGTAGTAGCTGAATAAACGCAATTAAATTGCACGATGAATTTTTAGAAATAATCGATCGATATTTAGCGGTGGAAGATTCGAAGAGCATGAAATATTTTCAACGCTTTGTATCCCGGCGTTCATTGTACCAATTAAAATATGCTGCAAGGTTTCGATAGATAGACAGACAGGTCGATGCTTGGGGCTTCCATAATCCATTTGCAAAAGCTTTAGGCTCATATGTCTTTCGCGAAGCGAAATAATTATTGCAATTTGGGCCGAGATATTGGCAATTTTGTAGCGATCTATTCTTTATCTATTCCTCTTATCGAATTCTCATTTCTCATTTTCTTATTTCCCCGTTCGATCAAAGATATCGGCTATCCGATCAGCTCTTCTTTCTTTTTCAATTTATCCGCGTTGAACTTCGAAAGAATTTCTTCCGGTGTAAGCGAACGTAAGTGGAGAACCGTAAAGGATAGGTGCGATCAAAAATGGATTGGCTGGGTTAAAAATATAATGTCGATATAGAGCGAGAAAGCAGCACCTACAACTAGTGCCGTGAACTCCTGTATTTACGGCCATCTATCGATCCTTATATGTTCATTTATTAATGCCGATGTGGGGCACTGTTAACCTTTTCATATGTCGCCGCGCCCACGCCGCATCGTGCTAAGCGAACGTTTCGATATTTCGCTTGCCTGCTAATACAGCTAATTCGAATTCCATTATTTCTCGTGTTTCGCCCTACATTACCTTAATCGTTTCTTCCTGACAATGATACAAGCTGGCAAAGAAATTTTTTTCCTTAACACGAAAAAGAGAGAAAGAGAAAGAAAATGGATAGCCACCTCTTCGTTGTCAGTTTGACTTTGCGAAACTAGAGAATTCTTCCAAGTTAACCACATCGATTTAAGCAGGGTACAATCGGAATCGAATTTGTCGGAATTAAATTCGTCGATAGCGTCGATGAAAATTAGACGTAATATCCCGTAATAAGAAAGGGTGGGCAAAATCAAAAGGTCGGCGCAATTGTTCGGATGAAATTAGATAGCGGTAGACGGATGCGGAACACGCAAAGGTCCGCCAAGTAATGTCGTTAAAGGTTCCACTTAACGAGGTGGTCGGTAATTGATAATTACACAGTGACACGAAGAAAACTGCGTTGAAGGATATCGCATGTGCAATTAATGGAGACTACCACGAACGCGCCGCGTAATTAAACGCGAATCACCAGCGAGAAATTATACCACTCTTGCCCACGAATTTGCGAACGCACGCGAAAATGCGAGACGAAGACGACAGAGTCGGGAATTTCGCGATTTCGATAATTGTCTGAAAAGTTGGTCGATTATACGCTCGTTGACTCTTTGTAGAGGGTGAATTCGTCGAGTCGACGAATCGTTGGTCTCCTCGAGGACTCGTCGGGATCACTCTGCGACAACATCGACCAATTAATATCTGTCGAGAATAGACGAATATAAAATTCTCCAACGTGGTGACATCGCGAGTTCATTAACGGACCTGGGTGTGAATGAAACTTTTTTCCCGACAAATCGAACTGTCACTCACGTTCTCGAACTCTCGTCGCGGGGGATGTTCTTCCTTGAATTATCTCGTCGAGACATTTCGTTCTCTCTAATTTAGTTACTACAGGTAAATGAGCAAGGAAGAAATTCAGTGAAAAATGTTGAGAGGCTTCGAGAGACGTTGGATCATAAATCGTAACAGAGATCGACATATTTCGCAAAGTTAAATCGAAAAATAGACACGTTCGAATATTCGCAACTCCAGAGAATTTTGATTCGCAGATCAAGCTAGAAGACACGAAATTTTCCCTCCTGATATTTGTTCTGACGAATTCGTGACATACGCTGCGGATTTTACGGATCAATAAGAATATTGAAACGAGGCTAAACGATTAGCCAAGTTTTTCATTGTCTGTAGTCGTGCACTTCTTCGCGGTGTACATTTCGACCGAATAACTTTTGAACCAGCAATTTAAACTTTTAATTACTTGTTCGTATTCGGCATGAGAACGCAGGGAAACGCTCGAGGAAGACGCTACGTCATTGGCCGAGGAATTAATCAAAATTTTTAGCGCTGTCGCGTAACGTCGTTGCTTTTTTCAGCTCCGTTCGCGTCTGTCGTTCTGCCAGGTAATTTTCCTGCTATCGAAGATTTTTCGCCTCGACGGAAGCCGGGGAGGAATTCGTTTTTCCGACCGGCTGCATGCCGATGAGACGTCGAGATGACATCGTCAGGAGCGATCCTATCTACCTCACAGCCCTCCTTTCCTTTCCACCCCTGGTTACACTTTGGAAGCGATTACCGTGAATCCTATATTCCAACATGGCGAGGACTATCAGCCTTCAATTTTTTCATTAATCAATTTTATTACGTTCCTTGTCAGTTAAGCTCGAAAGCAAAATTCGCGATGGTATTTTATGGATAATACGTAAATACATTTAACATTGAAACTTTCCAGGTTTTTGCGCTTGCAGTTATCGAAGATGTGCAAATGTTGGCATTTATCGAGGTGGAAGTATAAATATGTACCCCTGTTTGTTTTCATGACATTTCAATTATTGTCTTCTACGCGTTTCAGGTCGAGATTTGCAATGCGAAGAGTGAAGAGAATAGGATTAATGAAAGGAATTTATTAGTAAATGTCCAACAACATGGCGCCAGATGAAAATCATTGAATTATACTGAAGGGACTGTTCATGGACCGTTTAAACTACACAGCTAATAAACTGAAGAGACCCAGTTACTACGCGAGTAATATACGGCTGTAAATGCGACATTACCAGAACAGAGTATGTTGGGCGGTTGCTTTTCGTTATTATTATCATCAACAGCACGGTCGTCATCGTCGTGATCGGTGTCAGTGAAGAGAACTCGAGGATTTACGAGCCACTCGTCGCAATATCCGACTGCTCGGAACGTAACCCGTGACACAGAAGGTCCTCGAAGCGATTTAACGCGAAACCGGCGAAACCCTCTTCCGTTCTCCCAACTTTGCTTCCCTCTTTTTGGCCGAATGCATCCTTGCTTTAAGCTTAGAGCCTGCTGGTTTGAAGAAGCGGATCATTCGATGTGAAATTCAGGAAAAACCAGAAAACACGATCACCGAAAAACGTACAGTTTTTAAACTATGTTATTTATATTAATATCCTTGTTACTTTTATTCATACGTTTCCTTAATATTCGCTAGGTAATTTAAAAGTATTTTTCTTTCAAGCGAAAGTATGGAAGAAAACAACCTGCGCTCAATTGCTGTGCAATTTGCCAATCCAGTATTGGGATTGACAATCTCGCGCCTTTTTTTTCATACGAAAATTCCATCAATCGTGGAGAATTCGAATAAATGGACGAGACACCGTACGAAGAGAGTACAACGAATCGAGACGGGAGAAATCAAGGTGCCAGTGAAATTGCAACGAGTCATTTAAAATTCAGATAAATCCTATTAGTTGAAGACGAAGACGCGGAGAGCTTCACAGGACAATCAAGACATCGCGCGCAGGCAGAAGAAGAATCACGGAAGCGTGTTGATGGCAAAGAGGAAATAATGATGCGAAATCGTGTCAGAAAGAATAAT